CCCACGTAAGTCTCTGTGCTGACAGCTCGGAGCCTGGAGCCTGCTTCGGATTCTGTGTCTCCCTCTCTTTCTCTCTCTGCCCCTCCCCCTATTGGCACTCTGTCTCTGTCTCTCTCAAAAATAAATGTTAAAAAATTAAAAAAAAAATGACTGTAAGGTTTGTAAACAGATACATCTAATTTTTATTATCCCTAAAACAGAGCCTTGAGAAGTTATTTAGTGAAATTTTGAGGAACATAATAAACTTGTATGTGTGCAATTTATTTGATTTCAGTTTTGGTGATTATGGAGAAGAATGATCCATTTGTTGAACAAATTTCTACTGAATAGCTACTATATGCCAGGCGGGATTCTAGGCATTGAGGATAGGCAAGTAAATAATGAGTCAAAAACACCTGCCTTCATGGAGCTTACATTCTAGTGAGAATTCACAGTCTTGTAGTAACATATAATGATGACCTTGAACCTGGGTTTAAAGTTTGTTTCTTGAACCAAACTTCAAATCAATATGCATCCAAGCTAAATTTGTCTGCTCTTTTCTATAGATACTAGAAAGAATGAGATAGAGAGTAAAAGGTTTGGTCAAAGAAAATGATTTTGTAGGATTAGGAAATTTGAGCAGGTAGAAAGTCAATGGGCTAAAAGAAAAATTCTCACTGTACAAAATTCTCTAATCCTAAGAGCTGTAGGATCAAAGTTGGCTGCTCAAAACTAAAAATATTCAAAACCAACCCATTTTTAAGTGCATTTGCCCAGTTTTAATGCACGTGTGTGCTTCTAAGAGGCCTATGGTGATAGCTTCAATGCTGCATACACTCTTACTCACCAAGTCATGATCGTGATAATAGAATGGGGACAATAAATCTTTCCAATGTGGAAAGCCAAGTGCAGGTCTAAACAGTGAGTATAAAGAAGCCTTTGAAGGGTAAATAAATGGAAAATTAGGTGGGAAGGGGCATGCAGAGAGAAAACAGTACAATCAAAGACTAACCAAAATAATGTTGCCTAATAACATGAAGGGTAAGCCCTAACTGCTGGCAAGGAGCAGACCAAATGCAGGTGCTGCTGGGAAGGACAGAAGATGGCAGGGCCATCAAGCTGAGGAAAACACAGTGACTTTGTATAATTCTGAAGGATGGAGGGAGTCTGTGATTATGAAATGCAAATCCTAATGAGACTTCCCAACGTAATTCTCTTTCAATACTTTGTTTGTTTCAACCTACAAATACCACTTTTTAAGACAACGATCAACAGGCCAAGAGAAACCATCTTCTCTCTCTAAGCCACGTCTGATTTACAACTCCCTAGAACAACACAATGCCTGGAAAGGGTTTTCTATAAATTCTCATATAGACCCTGAGTTTCCTGGGGAAAATGTAAGTGACGCTTGTTTTTTCTTGCTTCTCTGCAGATTAAGATGGTTATAATGTAAAACCTATCAGGGTGCTCGTACATGGGATTTTCAGTATAGTGAGAAAAAGTGCTACATCCTCAGTGATAAAACATCATCCTCCCTAAAATGATTATCAGATCAACCAATATCTTTCTAATAATGAAGACAAATGCATTCAAATACTGCACAAATCAATCTTTTCTAGGACTGAAACATAGATATGGATGGGGATTATATTAGTCAAGATCTTAAAAATAAGTTATTGTTACAATCTGTAGATGAAAACTGTACCAATATATTCAATATAGGGAAGATTTAAATGGTTTACCAATTAAGTGGAGTAGTTTCATTCAGTAATTTGATTTACAGCTTAATTTTCATTTTACTTTACGAAAAACATGTGAGTTTCAAACACTTAAATGTTGTATGAATTTCAAATATACCTTACACAGAAAAATAACAATATAAAACCTCATTTAAAAACTGTAACAAATTAAACAAATCTAAAATGTAGGAAAATAGATGATTTTGGACAATTACATAAAAATGTTTCTGCTTTATTAAGGGTGAAAATATTCTGGAGTAGAAACTTGTTTTTTTTGTGATTCTATAATCTTTCTCTCTTATAACAGCACATTTTAACATATTACAAATTGAGTTAATTTTTTTAAACTATTTTAAGTATTACAGCCTTAAAAATAAATAATAAAAATTGCTTTTGTATAAATATTCAGAAAATAATAAATTTTCCAACACATATTTATTTTGTATTCCTTGATGCCATGATCTTGTTCTTTTTGTGTCTTTTTTTTTTTAAGTTTATTTATTTCTTTTGAGAGACAGAGCACATGAGCAGGGGAGGGTCAGAGAGAGAGGGAGAGGGAGAGAGAATCCCAAGCAGGCTCCACACTGCCAGCGCAGAGCCCTACATGGGACTTGAACCCAGCAACCGTGAGATCATGACCTGACCCAAAGGCAAGAGCTGGGACCCAGGCACCCCATAATTCTTTTTGTGTTTGACCCATCGCTGCACATTTTCCCATGTTGCAAAGGCTTCCTAAACTTAGGAAGGCACCTTTGTGTGCCTGGAATGGTTCTATAGTTCTACTATAATTATTAATTATATAATTAATACATCTACTATAATAATTAATTTATTCTGAAAGTAACTGCATGCAAAAACTACGTTGATCACTCAAACTAAAATACACTAACTTTGTGTTGTTGACAAATGTTTACAAAAGAAATCAGATTTATGATTTGTGTTTATCAATCTGGAAAATGGCAAATTACACATGCTTATAATATTATTAATATGAGCTACCATTTAGTAAGTGCCACAATTTGTAAGCTGCCACGCTCTTCCCCATCATTATGCTACATATTATTATCCGTAATTTATAAAGAAGGAAAGTGGAGCTTGAAAATGATAAGTATCTGTCCCAAGGTCATACAGTTAGCAAGGAATAGAATAGGAATTTGAAGTCATGTCTATTTGATTCCAAAAGCCATACTAAATGGATGAATGCCGTAAACACCTATTATAATATTAATGCTAGCAATATTGTGAACGGATGCAGACACAGGAGAATGGGAAATATCACGTAGGTATTTTTCTTTTCTAAAGTCAAAAAGCTTGGTGTGACCCCCAACTGCATTAATTTCCATTTAGAGTTTCCATTCCAGTTACATGGCTAAAACTTAACCTGGGCACTTTTAGGTAACTGCCATCATATTCAGCAATGTTCCTCCCATATCTGTTTCTCCTTAGGATCAATTCTAACCTCAGGGGTTTATGCAGTGTGAAAACACTCATGGGGGGGAAAACAACACTGCATGGCCTTGATCCATCCTGTGTTAGCTCTCACTGAGATGTGTAATTGTTCCCTTATGGTCTTTATTAGAACCAATATCCACAGCATCTAAGTTTACAAATCCTGACGTGCCTACTGAATGAACAGCCCACCCTTTAAAATCCTCTCTTCATAGACTTGGTAACCCTTTGGATCTACGGCTCTTCTTTCTTTTGATGTATCTATCTTCCTTCCTTCCTTGTCTATGCAGACACTAGAAATATTTAGCTGCTCAAATATCCACACACATTATGACTTCGCTCTCAATGCCTCTGTCTCTGCATCCAATGTAGTGACTACTTCCCCACCGTGGTGCGGGGCACATGTAAAAAGCTGCTGCCTCCAGATTTCCAAATGGAAAGCAAATATAATCTCTTCCACTCTGGGATCTCCATATTTAAAGAGTATCTATTAACCCTCTATCTTCTCATACCAAAAAGATGGGGAAATGGCAGAGTCACCTTTATCATCCACACTGGCTTCCAACAGTCTTCCTTCTCTAGCTATTGCTCTTCTCCCTCAGCATGGAGCTTCTTGTACAGAACTCAAAGGCTACACATTCAACTTTTCCCTATTTTACTACTGGATCTAAATTTTTGAACCTGAAAGCACAAAATTCCTCACTGTTTTTGCTCTCTCATTCCACAGTGTCCTAGATGGGAAAGAACAAACAAAAACAAACAAACAAACAAACAAAAACAACTCTGGGATACAAGTGAATGAAGGGCAAGCAGGTATTAATGCTAGTTAATACTTGAAAAGTATTGTCCATCCCCCAGAGGGTCAAAGTCCTTTACATGGTTGACTATATTTGTGAATACAAGGAACTAGTAAAAGGGTTAGCTGAAGAATATTACAATAGAATAAAGCAAGAACAGAGAGAAGGCAAAAAAAAAAAAAGGGTAATAAGTTGATAAGGAAAAATAGAGAATAAGAGTAAAGAATACAGTTGTAGTAAGAAATAGCAGACAAGAGGAAGCCAACAAAAGGATGGACAAGAGAAGGGAGGGAAGATATAAGAAGTGATGGAAAGACATGGAAAGAGAGAGATAAGAGAATGGGGGAGAAAAAGGAAACTTCAATGAAGAAAAACATGCAAAAGAGACAAAACAATAATAAAATTTTCAGAGGAGGAAAACATTTAATTTTCAAATTCCTAACTGGCACAAACAATATCACATGGAAGTCTGAATCCACTCTCCTGCTTCCTTCTGCTGCCTGTAGGATGTTTTCTGATTCTCAGCTTTGGAGCCATCCATTTTAAGTATATATACCTAGATAAGTACAGATATTACAACTTTTAGCCTAAGTCGCTGGTTCACAAAAGCTATCTACTTTCCCATTTTTTTAGTGTTAAGTGAATCCAAGACACTTATCTAAAGGGCTTATGTAGGTTATCTCATTTAATTCTCATAGCAACTGTGTGTGAGAGAGAGAGAGACTATTCTTTTTCCTACTTTACACATTAAGAAATTTGAGGGTTAGGGTGAATTTATCCAAAATGCAGAGCTAGCCAACAATGAAGCCAAAATCCAAACCCGACAATTGAACTCCAGATCCCTTCACTTCTTAACTGCTTAGCTGCATTTTTTAATTTCCCAAATCATCCAATTAAACAACCCACCTACCTACCTTGAATTTTATCTATGAGAGTAACATAATGTTTGATTTAGGCCATGGTCTGGGTGATTGTTACAGTTTCCTTTGGTGTTGATTCCAAGTTCAAAGTTCCTTATTTGAGTGGCCGCGTTACTGATCAACAGAATACATGCTTATTAAAACAAATCATAGGCAGCAAGCCATGTTTGGGTGCAGTTAGGAGCTGTTACTTTGTGGTCTGAAGAAAAGTTGTATGTTTAAATCTGTGCAGGACCCAGCATATCTCCACTGAGGTGAGTATCACGTGTGTTGGGGGTAGAGAAATTGCTGAGTCCTGATACTGAAATGGACTATGATATGGGAGCATAGTTCTTATGCCAGGAATTACAACGGTTCTTTACTCGTCGTAAAGACCCTTGAGGGATCTTAGCCACACACCCAACATTCTTCTGAACAATGAAGACATAAAAGAAACATGGCTGGGGGTGGGTGCTGAATTCAGGGGGGGCTCTCTCTCCAAGAGCAGGTGAAAAAAATAGAAGCTTAGCAGGGTTTGTGGAGTTTTCTCTGAGATAGGTCAGTGATGATGTTATGAAAACTCCCTCGGGGAGCCTGGGTGGCGCAGTCGGTTAAGTGTCCGACTTCAGCCAGGTCACGATCTCGCGGTCTGTGAGTTCGAGCCCCGCGTCAGACTCTGGGCTGATGGCTCGGAGCCTGGAGCCTGTTTCCGATTCTGTGTCTCCCTCCCTCTCTGCCCCTCCCCCGTTCATGCTCTGTCTCTCTCTGTCCCAAAAATAAACGTTGAAAAAAAAATTTTTTTTTTAAAAATTAAAAAAAAGAAAACTCCCTCAAAAGTTCATGACCCACCTTCAATGTGATTTTTTTTTTTTTGTTCCCTATGTCTTCTAAGATGCTCCAGTTTGAATGATATATTGTTTTTATAACCCTTATCTCATGACATATGGCTCCTTGAGAGCTCAGATGGCCAAACATTCAGAGTCAGGAAGTCCTGAATTTACCTTCCAACCTATCATCTTTGTTGCCTTAGGCAAGGTCCACCTAAGCTCTCAAAGGCTCACTTCCCCCATCTATAAAATGGGGATTATAGAAATTATTAACCTAGAGTGTTCTTATGAGTATTAACTGATTTTGGTATGGAAAGTGCTTGATATACTCAATACATTTCAGCAATGATAATAATAATATTCATCATTCTTTTTGGTAGCCCCAGCACTTAGATCTTGCATAGCAAACTCTCAACAACTGTTTGCTAAATGAATGAATCCTGTGATATAGGAGTAAACATTATATTCTTGTAGGTGTATATTAATTAAAAATGACAAAGTAATGGTGGAATATAAAAACAGAAACAATGCTCTCAACTCGCATCAAGATTCATCATTTTTCGAAAGCAATTACCTACAAAACATTACTCTGCAGTGCTTCTTGGCTTAATGCTTCCTTCAGTGCTTTCAGAAACTAAGGCCAAAAAGTGAATGTTTAAGATGGCGGTAGCTCCAGCAATCTACAAGTCTCATGGTATCTATGGAAAGCTTAGAATGATCATTCCAATAAAATTATAAACCAATAATGAGGTCCTTGATTGATTTACTCTCACTCTGGTCAGAGAATTTTATCAAGAGCTTCTACAAAATAGCTTTGTTCTTTACCATTCCTCTTCTGACATAAATCAATGACTCACTTGAGCTAACTCCGTGTGTTGTATTGCTAATACACACACACACACACACACACACACACACACACACAGGTTGAACAAACCTGTTGGACAGAAGACTAAAACCACATTGCATATATCTACTAAAATTGAGAATCAAATGACTACATAATTAAACAGCAAGAACCATGTTAATGTTAATGGTGCATCAAACATTTTTTTGATAAGAGAACCTTGTTTATATCTTGTTAAACGAGTCATCTACATTGACTTGAAACTATTTGGACTTCCTTGACTGATTTTGACCTCAGAGTCTTTGAAATACCTTATTTAGATGTGGACAAAGCACAACTAAAAAATTCAAAGAAAGCATCTTTTCCCCTCACCCCCAGGACAGCTGAATATTAGACTATTTCCAGCTGTGATGCTTATTGCAAAATTTTAAGGCAGTTTATTTTCTCAATCTTTGTGTAATTTGTCGCTCCAAAAATTAGGCTCCTTGTTAATCATCTCTGCACATTTTCTAGTTTTAAAAAATATACTGTTTTTACACTCTGTCTCCCATAATTGCATCTGGTGTTGTGAGTCCCCTAATATGTCATTAATATGTCACCATGGTATGGCCTTCATTAGGGTTAGGAGTATGTACTAACTTACTCTGATGATCAGAAAACTGAAACACAGCTTCTTCCAACATATAACAATTTCAGCATTTGAAGATGAGTACTTTTACAAAGCTGAATTCCCTCAAATTATGACAAAAATTATGCACTGGCAACACTGATGAAAGTATTTTTGTTGTATATGTTGATTTACTGTGATTCCAGTTTATAAGAAAGATATCTTTTATACTGTCATAATTAAAGTCTCAATAGAAGATGAGACTATCACAGACACTTAGATCTTAATTTTTATTCTGTTGGAAAGATCATGTCACACTATTCACTTCTTTGTTTTCAGTTACAATAATGCATGGAAATACCACAAGGTTCCCTCTTATCCACGTCTTTTCAATTTTTCTATGAAAGGCTTATTTAGTGATGATTAAGGTCTTGGAAGACAGATTGTTTACAGAGTAGAGGCAGTATTGCCAAATATAGGCTGTGGTGCTTTGCATCTTATGAATTTAACGATGAGCTGCTCAACCAAGAAGGAGGAATTTCATTTACGAAAGGCCATCTGCATTTCAGGTCTCTTAACTGAGCCAATCCTTCTTCCCCACCCTCTGAGGAAATGACATCTTCACACAGAGGTTAGTTCTTGGCTAACAAGGTTGTCGAATAATGAGGCTTGACTAGATTTTCTTGTAATTAAATAATAAACGCAAAATAACTGTGGGTCCTCATCAGCTGATCAAGAGGGATATATGGTTTCAGAGATATCAGTTTCAAGACTGGGTTAGGAGCTAATTTCTCTGAAGTGTTGATTTGGTTCTTTTCTCTTGTAAGGATGTAGAGAATGATAACCCAGCTGTGCCCTAACCATATGTTCAGATTCACACAAAAGTCAAATCAGCTTTCTTTTTCCAAATTATTTCCTCCCTTGATGTATGGACCTTATTTATAACCTCCCTTTGTGCAGCCATAACACTATCACATAGGGCTTAGTTTCTGAAAACCATAGCAATTGCCTGAAAATTGATTTGATGTCTTTTGCCCATCCCTCCCTTTGGTCCCTGAAGACATTTTAATATGAGCCATGACATTATGATGGATGAAATCTGGCATTTTACTGTAGCAATGCTACTCCCATGTGGAAACTAACAGCTTGTTCAAAAGCTGGTCTTCCAGCCAGATTTAGGATATACAGTAAGACACATTTCCAATCTTCCCCCTTTTCTTTCCTTTCAAAATATCCTTCCCAAACTTGTGTTAACAAATTCTCCAGGTGCGACAGGTTGAGGCTGGTATGAAATAATGCGAGTGATATATGTCACCAAGAGACAGGGTTAAATGTGAGTAGGAAACAATCTATATGTTTGAACATAGAATAATTTTCCAATACAAATTCTACTCTGCAAAAATACCAAATTTCTGCTTTGTTAAATAATTACACCTTTTAATGATATATTGTAAGGCTGAAACTCTAATGCCAGTAGAACAGATTGAAAAAAAAATTCATGAGCTTATTCTTTCATAAACCATATGTTCTTATTTATACATTACAATCTATATTTTTTTAACTTTCACATTAATTACCACAGTCAAATTTTTCAAGGATAATGAATACAACTGTGTTCACAAATCTCCTAATCAAAAGGGGGGGGGGGGAGCTATTTAAGATGCCAGCAGTGTGTGCAATTCCTACTCCTTATATTTAATAATAGGTCTATCTTGGACCTTGGAGTTTTAAATATACAGGGTTGTAGGACATCTCAGGAGATGATTAGCTGCGACCAGGTTTCTATTTACTCTCGGTGTTCTGTACAGACCCAAAGCCCCTACTAAAATGCAATGGTTGTCATAAGGAAATTGTGGAAATGTATTGGATGTAAAGCATTAGTATCCGAATACATGAAACTAGTGTTTATGTTCTTCACTAATAGAATTCAATACTTACCTGAAGGCCTCCAGCTAGCAGTCGATGTTGCAGTTGAGAAAGAAGCATGGCTTAGGGTGGGTGCTGAATTCAGGGGGCTCACTCCCCAAGTGCTGCCCCGATGAGCTCAGTCCCGCTTCATCTCTGCTCTCAGGCCCCCACACCCTTTCATGTTTAAGACAAGGTAATCATTGTTAATAAACAGATGACCCAGTGAATTATGTAGCCATACTCATCATTTTAATATTCACGGGACAGTGAACTTAAAATCTAGCTCATGACACTGACATTTTGTATCGGTCCAGTTTACTTTTGCGCATTAATTTGACTTAATTTACTTTCCAGTTTCACTTTTATTTTGTTCACTTTTTGCAGCTACCTCCTTCAAATTCCTTTGACAACCTGAGAATGTCTTGCAGCTGAACGTAATATTAATTACATTTCAAAGCAAACCTTTATTCATTTGGGGACAATCTGTGAAACAGAAATCTGTGACTGAAGCTGCTGCCAAGCCAATTACTGCAAAATAACTCAAATATGCCTCGACAGATTGCATTTTTCCTATTGTTAGATTGTTTATGCCGTAGATCAAAAGTCTACATTTGCTTTAATTAAAATGAACTAACTCACATAGTTAAATATATCATCCGTTCCTTGGAACCATATATGGGTTTATGTGTAGACAAAGTGCACTAATAAAAGTCTCTGGATTTTTTTTTTTAACTGTGTAATTCTGTTTCTTTTTTTCTAGATGTTTCCTGGCTTTCTTTATGTCAAAGCATCCTTTGTATGAACAAGCCAAAGAAGAAAGAACTAATCAGCACTGAAGACCAGAGAGCAAGGAAATTATTCAGCGCTCAAAGAAATTCACCCTAGGCACACATCAAATTGCATCTCACATGCAGAAGAGATTGGTGAACTCCAATAGGTTCAGGATAAGCACCTGACGTTCAGATGCTTATATCTGAACTTTATCTGAATGATCCAGATTTCTTAGTTACAAAATACAAGGCTGGGAATTGCTATTATTGTTGTTGTTATTATTATTGTTATTACTTTCTAAAGCTCACAAAGCACTGTTATATGAAGTTTAGAAATGCCCCTGTTTAGGATGAAATAACATCAATATATTACTCTAGGAAAGAATACATTTTTAAATTTTAACAGTTATGAGATATATATATATATTTAAAACCTTTCATAGACTGTCACAGCATTTTTGTGTTTTTGCAATTCTGCCATTCAGAAGTAAAAAGGTGGCTTCATAGTCCCAAATATCACTATCTTTTCATTTTTTTCTAAGACTATATTTAGATTTATATATATATATAAAGGAGCACATTTAAAGCCCATAAAGGATCTGTAAAATAAAATTACTATCAGCTGAAAGGCCCTCTTTGCCTTCAACAATATCTGACAAACGACTTCTCTTTTCCTTCAGGGGGTTTTGGTAACACTTAAGGAGAAATCTGAGCAGTTCACTTTGGCAGGGGAAAGAAACTCAATGGCACAGGCTCTGTGAAGTTTGAGCTTTAAACAAGTGTGGCACCAGCCAGGGAAAGAACAATGGAGAGTGCGTGAACAACACAAACTGGGCTAGAAAAATGTAGCCTCAGTTCTTTTCTTCTCCCTTGCAGGAACCGCGACTCAAAGTCAGGTCCTGTTTGCTGGTACAGTGGGTGAGAAGGGAAAGTGGTTTCAAACACACAGTGCCCTGGGCTCTCAGCACCGCTGATCAAAATGGTCTCTGAGCTCCTTGGCTTCGGTGGATTTCAATAATCTGCATCCATGGGCTACCCTGTTCCCCTTCTATTTCTGTAGACGTGACAAAGTCACTGGTCAATAGGTTGGCTTTCTATCGCATGGTTCTGTTCTGGGCTTTTTTTTTCCTCCTGGCACCACATCAGACTCAGGAATTTTCTGTATTCCCATTTTCAGCAGATGATGTGAGTTGCCCTCAAACAGAAATGGTTGATTCATCTTTCTCTCCCTCTCTTCTCTGACATAAGGGAGAAGACCAGTTCAGGCTGCCACAATGAAATACCATAGACTGGGTGGCTTCAACAACCAAAGTGTACTCCTCACAGGTCTGGAGGCTGGGAAGTCCAAGATCAAGGAGCCAGCATGGTTGAGTCTGGTGAGAACTCTCTTCTTGGCATGCAGTCAGCCACTTTCTTGGTGTGTCCTCACATGGCAGAGAGAAAGCCAGCTGTGGTGGTGGTTGTTGTTCCTCCTCCTCCTCCTGCTCCTCCTCCTCCTCCTCCCCCTCCCCCTCCCTCTCCTTCTCCTCCTTCTTCTAAGGCATCTAATTCCATCATGGAAGCCTCACTCTCATGACTTCACTCCCTGAAGGCCTCAATTCCATACTTTGGGGAAGTGCTTTGACACACGAATTTGGTGCCAGGGCTCTAACACTCAGGCAATAACAAGAGCTACTTTGTTCTGCTCCCTTTTGACCCCTCTCCTAGAGCGACCTCACAGGGAATTTGCATACTTCACTTCTGACACTAGCCACATGTATCTGCTGGAGCTGCACCCCACTCTTTCTCTTTGCACCTACAAAATTGGAAGTAATACACTCGGATGTTTGAAATCTGAAACTCAGGTCTAAGTATTTCTGACCACAGGCATCGACAAAACTCTGATGTGTGTGTTTCTGGTGATTAATGAACCAAAGGTGATATTCAACAATACTGAATAGAATTCCAAGAATAATTCTTCTTTTTGGCAGAAGAAATGATCGAACTATCAGCCAACTTGGAAATATGACAGTATTTTAAAAATAATAATCCCTATCCTATACAGATTGCTAAAGAATGTGAAACGTGTTTGGCTATGCATAACCTCTCCCTTCAAAACGCCTATCAGTCTTTAAAAATACATGTAATGGGGCGCCTGGGTGGCTCAGTCGGTTAAGCCTCCAACTTCAGCTCAGGTCACCAGCTCACGGTCCGTGAGTTCGAGCCCTGCGTCGGGCTCTGGGCTGATGGCTCAGAGCCTGGAGCCTGCTTCCGATTCTGTGTCTCCCTCTCTGCCCCTCCCCCGTTCATGGTCTGTCTCTATCTCAAAAATAAATAAACGTTAAAAAAAAATTAAAAAAAAAAATAAATAAATAAAAATCCATGTAACACTGTAGAATCCTGGGGAACGAATAAAAAGTTGAGAAGGTCACAAATAATCTTAGCTTCAGAAAGGCTCACCATTCTAGAATATAGATTCACATATGTATGTGTGTGGCAGCCTTGGGCTTGCACTACTCAGGTCCCCTTCAAGAGACAACCTGCTGCACCAAGAATAGGTAGCTGACATCTTCCGGATCCACCCCCCAGGGTCGGGATCAAGGCCTCAGTCTCCCTGGGTTGTCCCTAGCTAATGACTGTGCTTGGTAGGAGTACTGGAGTCAGCCATAAGGGAGCTCTTCTAACAGACAATCTTCACTACCATCACCCTAGCAAGAATCTCTCAGAATTGTGCTACAGTCCTTCCCTCTCATCTTTCACAGATGTCAGACCAACACTGCCACTTCTGCTCCCTTCTCCTTTACCCTTCACAAAGGTTTACACCAATGAATTCCTGCTTGGCATGGATTCTGCGGAGGAACAGAGTTGACGCAGTATGTGTATCCATATGTATACACCCTCATAAAGATGCAAATACACGTGCATGTGTTGATACATACACATTTACATTTTTATAAACATATGAATATAGATACAGATATATAGACACATAGATATATAGATATAGGTGTACATGCACACCTAAAAATGCATTTTTTTTAACCCAGCAGCCTGCATTTCAAAAGTTAACTGACCTCACACAGACATGCTAAGAGTACATGAAAGATAACAGGTTTTTCTTTCACTCTCTTGATATTCTTATTGATAGGCAAGAAAGCATTCTTACATATGTGTTAAGTGGGTACATCATAATACTTATTAATGGCATGATTGTTTATATTAAGAAAGGCAAAGTGAAACTAAGTTAAAACTGTGGTTTATGGGACTAGTATATCTATTCAATTAAAAAGTCTGGTTTTTGGTAGGAATTCAGAGAATATACTTATTTTCCAGTTTTAAACTGGTATTTGTTGATGTTATAAGGATTCCATCTTCTATGAATAATCTTTTATAAGAATGTTACCAAGGACTAAGCCTGCCCTAGAATAAGAATGATATTTATTTTTACCCAAATAGAAGTTGACATTTATCAAATTACTTTTAAGAATCTTTCAATACATCTTCCTTGAGCATTGATAGATTTCAGGCTAGTCATGGCATTTTCAGTAAATTTATCTCATGGTATGTTCATGACTATCAATCTTTTGATTAAAAATCCATGATTCTGAAACTACATTTTGCTGAAATTCCTGAAACCAGCTCAGACATATAGTTTCAAACGAGATATTTGGGGAACATCTTAACATAGAACATAATTCCATACGATATTTATTTCTGTATTTTAGAGTGGTGTTTACTTTATGCCTAATTTAAAATGTTTCCATAACTTGAGGATTGACGTGAGGATAAATTTCCATGATACATTTAAGAGTATGCCTTTATATAAATGTAGTGAGTTAATACATCTGCCTGAATACATGCCGTATTATACATTCTTTTCTTTCAAAATGTATCACGTACCTTTTTCAAACTTGTTACATGAACATCCAATCAAATTTGTGGGATTAAAATAATTTTATAAAATTCAATTTTGTAATGAAGGTAAGAGTGCATTAAGCAGAAGCATCCTTTTTTAAAATCTGAATTTCTCAGGGTCTTTCCAGCACTCTTGATTCAACAGTCATGACGAGAGCTTGGAAAATTCTATCAGGCTTAATCAGAAAAATTTAGTCCATCTGTTGACTATGAAATTTACTTTCTGAAAACCACACATTTTAAAAACAAGAAGGAAAATATATTTCATGTTATTTCACACATGTTAAGTGTCAAAAGACCTAAAAGGAACAGGTAGTCTTTCAATGCTTGTTGAAGCAGAAATTAAAATTTTTAGTGAAGCATTTACACAAAAGTAAATTTGTTACCTTTAGGTCTTTTACTGATGCAGCTATGAAAGGAAAATATTACATTTTCTTTTTCATCTCAATGTATTTTATTGAAAATTAGATTATGTATACATGCTGGAAAATGATAAATTACTTGAAATTAAACGGAGTTAAGGAAAAAGTATAAGATAGAAAACACTATCATGAGAACTGTCCTTCCCCCCCCCCCACCCCCTGTGTCATTGTTGACCTCTAGGACTTTGATGTGTTCTTAACTAGCTCTGAGAAGCAGCACATTCAGGTTGGTTGTTCAAGTGGATGAGGTGAACTAGTACATGTAGATTATAAAACATTTGCAATTCTTTTGAGAGAGAAAAAGAGCATATTTTAAAAGTTGATAAAACCCTAAAACTCTCTCTCTCTCATCCTGGACTTCAAACAGTTCTTCATAAATCAAAATGTAAGAAATACCTAAATGAAACATAGGGGTATCATCATATCCCTTAAATTTATGGGTTTTTTGAAGTTATTAATAGTTATGGGAGCCAATCATGGGAAAAATATTTAGAAATTTTGGAGAAAAATGATGTCACCAGTGTCCTTATCTATGCCCTCTGTAGCTGAAGATACTTAGACAAACAGGTTGCCAGCCACATACACTTTCTGGAACAATGGGGTTGGCAGGTAGCAAAGCAGCTAAAGAGAGTTTGAAAGAATGGGACCGGGAACCTAACGGCCCAGGCACAGATTCCAAAGACAATGCCTTTGTCCAATTAAGCATCAGAATCACTCAAATATCTAGTGATCTGGAGAATTATCTCACGATGGACAAGAGGCAAAAGTAGGGTAGGTTAAGCAAAATTAGCTACGAATCTCTACCTCTACTCAACATTTAAGTAAGTTTGGATTCCTCTATCAGACATTTAAACACCATTATGGACCAAATGTTTGTGTTACCCCCGATTCCCACATTGAAGTTCTGGAGACGGGGCCTTTGGGAGGTAATTACAGTTAGATGAAGTCATGAGGGTGGGGCCCTTATGATGGGATCAGTGCCCTTAGAGGAAGACACATCAGGGAACTTGCTCTGTCTCCTGTTCTTCACCATATGAGAACACAGAAGGCAGACATCTGCAAGCCAGGAAGAGAGCTCTCACCAGAAACCAAATAGGTCAGCACACCTTGATCTTGGATTTCCAACCTCTAGAAACCACGAGAAATATGTTCTTGTTGTTTAAGCCACCCAATCTATGCTATTTTGTTATGGCAGCCAAAGCTAATGAGTACACTTTTTTCTCCCCTTTGGTTCACCTGTGTATTTTTTTTTCCTGTTAATTTTTAAACCAAAGAAAAAGACAACAACACATATTGTAAGTTCCAGCTATATTGTTAATAATCCTACCGTAGTGAAACTGAAAACAACAGTCTGATTTTAGAAACTTAACACAACCCTGATTTATGTAAGTTTCTAAGGGACAGGGAAAGAAGTAAATATCAAAAAGGGTGAGCATGCATATCCCATGTATTATACTCTTAAAAATCTACTGTCCTCATCAAGAAGGCATGTGTTTTTTTAGAAGAGTCCCACATGGAAAACTGGTGAAGGATAAGAAACAGCTTTGTCACTCAATCAATTTTAATGGAATAATGGATATTTTGGCCAGATCTTCCTTACATCCACAGGACCTTTCCTGGAAGGTCTCCTGGCTCTTGTAATAAGTCTACTTTTCCCCAAGCCCACTTCACTAAGTCACCTAAAACCAGGTGACTTCTACACACAAATAAAGGGATATTTTTCTCCGTAATTCTTAATCTGGAAAATCTGTATTTTTTCTTATTTAACTTGTTTACATTTATCTTGCTATAGTCTAAACTGACTACGCTAATTCAGATTCTTCAAATAAAACACAGTCAATCCAGCAAAGACTTGCTGAACAAACAGGTAATGGGCTGTTTCACATACTGCGTAGACTTGGGGTGGGGTAGATTCAAGTACAGTTGGATTCATGGTTCACACAGGCATTCAGAACTTGGTTTCTTCCTTCTATGCTGGTTTCAAATTCTATGTATCAGCTGGATGGTGGCAGTAAACTCAGCTTCAAGCCCAGACAGGGATGGTTCCTTGCACTATTTCAGAGGGTTTAACAAAATTTTCATGATTTATTATCTCTGAAGTGATAACATGCCCATCTCTGAAGCAATCACTGTGGCCTGGTGGCTGTGCTGCTCTCACTGACCAAGTACGAGTGACATGATTTCCTTGGGTTCACAGAACCACCGTGAGTAGAGGGATTTTCAAAATGAAAATAAGCCATTAGCAAAAGCAGAGCAAGAGGACACCTATTGGTTCCTGAACAAATACTTCCCGGAGTTGAATGCTTCTGGCTGTCTATTAACCCATAATTACTCCCTAATATCCCATGAAGACATCATTTAAGGCGCCCACCTCATCCACCAAGGAGTGGACCACTGCTTCTCAGCAAAGTTTAGGATCTTCAAGTAATCAGAAGTATCTCCTGATGCATTTAAAATTCAGAGGAGGAGAGAAAAGAAAACAAAAACCAAAACCCAATGCCACTTCCTATCTGAGAAAAGGAGGAG